GCCCTATCCAGGATACCCAAACAGAATATCCAGGGGCAGAGCTTATAGATTTGTATTTTTAACAGGCTCTTGGGCGATTCTCAGACAACTGGCCTGGTAGTGGTTCTCTCACCTTTGAGAATCACTGCAGGTGGTGTCAACAGCAAGGCAGGAATATCTGACTGGGTCAAGTATGTTTTCCTATGTGTTGCTAAGGTCCTTTACTTCATCCTGTAGGTGATGGAGAGTTTCAAGCTGGAAATTGATGTAATCAGATATGCTTTCACCACATTACCCTGTGTCTTCTCCAGGGTCATCTTTCATTCAATAAATATTTATCGAATGTTATTTGCAAGCATGGCCATTTCTCAGATTTTGGGTTGAAATATTAGTACCTGGGATCTAAGAAGGGTATCTAGAGGAGTAAAGAGAATCGACCAGTGGTGGAGAAATCAGTCAACAAAGTCTGAACGTACTAGCCTGTTTTAGAACTGGTGGCATGAAGAGATGGCCCACAGGCTATTACAAGCCAAAGGACCCTCCATCTGAAGATAGATGAAGGAAGGGTCTGATGGAAACTTAGTTTGCTTTTGGATAGTTTGAGTTTGAGGAGGTGAAATATGTAGTAGAAATATGGTCCTGTCGCTTTGGTGAGAAAGGGCTTAAAGCTAGACAAATAGATTTGGTAGTCCACAGCATGGAGTGTTAAGACTACGGGAGTGCATAATTTATGCGTTAAATTCATGAAATGGTTTTGTAATAATTTGTATATTTGTACTTGTTTATATCTTAAAAATAAATTCTTCCAATAAAGGATTTTAGTTTATTATAACGTATTAAAATTTAAAATTACACAAGGATTCAATTTGACTTTTTGGTTTGGATCATAATCATATGAAAACCTCTCAAATGGTTGTATTTTTCTAGAATAAAAAAGTGCTATCTCTTGTATATTTTATATGTTTTCATATGTTTTCTATTCAAGCTCTATGTCCTCATTTTAGTTTTTCTGTTCACTGTAGTTCCCTCCCTCCCTTCCTTCCTTTTTTTTTTTGCTTTATCTTCCACTAAGTTGTCTCTAAAAAAGAATGAAAATCAATCTAATTCTGTTCATTAAAGTTGTTTTGGGTCATTTTTTACTGTTTTTTTATTTGTTTGCTTTTTGTTGTTTTGAAATGTTCCCTGAAACTGGGTAAGCAGAAATGTAATAGAGTAAGACTTACTGGTTAGAACCCTTCGTTCGGTATTATTGCATGACCTATACTTTTTAAGACCCCATAGTGGGAACAAGTTAAAAATAGTCTATAAAACTGATTATAGTAGGAGCAATTATCTTCAGTAGGAAACAAAAATTTGGGATCCCTGAGACCTATTTTATTATGTGCTATATATTTAATGTAAAATGAGACCATTCTTTGTATTTTTTATAACTACTGTATATACATATAATATGAAACTTATAAATATCAACATTTCAAAGATTCATAACTTTTTAATGATGAATTATAGATATAGCAATCTTAAATGCCAAGTTTATTATATATGTTTATATATGTATTTATAATCTAAGCAATTTTTAAAGAGCAATTAGAAGCAGAGTATAATGTAGTTAAAAGAACAGAATCTTTGAAACCATACAGACTTGAGCTTGAATCTTCAGTTTGCCATTTACTACTTAGTTATTCTCAAGTCATTTATTTAACTTTCTAGGCTTCAAAAACCAATGCCTAATCCAGATAATTTTTGTGAGAAATAACAATAGCGGCTCACATCTAGTGACCCTGTGTGCCAGGGTCTCTACATACATTGTTTCCTTCATCCTTATTGCAGCCTTGGAAGGTAGCTATTATTATTACTATTATTATTATTAGCATCTCAACTTTATAGGAGAGGAAACTGAGACTTAGGGACATTTGGTAATTTGCTGAAATTAGTAAGAGCTTCAGGATCAAGCCAATTTTGCTTGACTCCAGAACTTTTAGCTTTTAAGTAGTATCATGCATGTAAAACACTTAATCTGGCATATAGTATATATGCATAAAATTTCTTTGTTTAAACCTGTTTCCCACACCCATCATGGAGATAAAGTTAATAGGCCCATCTTTCACATTTTAGGTTACAATGCAAAGGCAATCTCCAAACAAATTCCCAATTCCACATAATAAAAATAGCTTATGTTTTTGAGTACTTACTATGAGCCAAGCATTTTCCATATAATATTTAATGTCCACAATTGCCCTAGCTTTCTTATAGCTACTTCTCGTTATAAGGAGTTAAGGAGCCCGGCTGGCGTGGCTCAGTGGTTGAGTGCTGACCCATGCACCAGGAGGCCGCCTGTTCGATTCCAGTTCAGATTGGGCACATGCCCAGGTTGCAGGCTCAATCTTCAGCTGGGGGCGTGCAGGAAGCAGCCATTCTCATTAACGTTTCTATCTGTCTCTCCCTCTCCTTTCCACTCTCTCTAAAATCAATAAAAACATGTTTTTTTAAAAATACAAAAAACTGTCTTATTTGAAAAAAAGGAGTTAAGGAGCAAAAACTTGAACTTCCCTCATGCTTTTTTGTTTTTCCCCCTGAAACTGCATTGTAATACAATTTTGCTTTTTATTATTTTGAACTATTTTTTAAGGAAGAGAAAAAAAATTGATCAAGTTAATATAAAGGATATCATTTTTAAAAGCACACTTAAGAATTAGTATCTAGTAATCACCCATGAGAATGCATGGGGAATGGAGGGCACACAACAATCACATTGTTCCTGTTTAACACAAAAAATACTTCTAAGATTCTTATTTTATCAGCATTGATAAACCTTGTCAGTATACAACATATTTTAAAATATACAAGCTAGTCTGAAATGAGGTATATATTACAGTGGTTCTACTATAAAAATGTGCTTGTTAACTAGTATTTCCGGTATTATTTCACCATCTGACCATCTTGTAAAGTGCTGCTTTCCACATATGGTCATTTCACTCTTTGCTAAATGGGCACTCTATAAAAAGAAACATTTTCTAGAACACCTGCTGAACATGACATTTCTGTGAAAATAAAGGTATTATTGCTAATATTTTCCTCCAAGCTTGGCAAAATTGCATATACTTTACTGAAAACCTACATACTATATTATTTAATTTTTGAGATAATATTTCTGATTTTGAATTAGATATAACCATGAGTTAAATAGAATTACTTGGATTATCAACCAACCAGTTTCTCATATATATTAAGGTTATAGTTTAAACATATTCTCTAACAAGAAATTGATTAATTTCCAGAGCACAATGATGAATTATGGCTTTATTTACATTTCTGTTAACATGAGTAATCAAGAGTTAAGTTTATTTACTTACTTTTTTAAGTATATCTTTATTGATTTCAGACAGAAGGGAGAGGGAGAGAGAGTTAGAAACATCAATGATGAGAGAGTCATTGATCAGCTGCCCCCTGTGTGCCCCCTACCTGCAACCCAGGCATGTGCCCTGACCAGGAATCAAACCCCGATCTCCTAGATCGATGCTCAACTGCTGAGCCACACCAGCCAGGCAAGAGTTAAGTTTAAATAAGACTGTGCCTTGTGAAGGGGAACTGAGTATGGACCTTTAAAACACATTTTTAAGACCTCAGCAACACATTTTTTATTTGTGGTGGCCATAGTCAATACAATGATTTCTAGGAACAAAAGTGATTAGTCTTTACAATAGAGAGCAATAAACTAAACCCTGATCCATGACCACATAAGCATGTTTCAGAGGGGATCTTTTCCATTAGTTGAGAGGTTAAATGACATGTAAATTCTCTTTCAACTCTAGATTCTGCGGTTTTTAATTGATTTTTATTTCTCCACTAACCTAAATATGTCATCAGCCAAACACTTCATGGAAGTTTCTCAGAATTTGTATAAAATATTAATCTGTCATGTGTCAATACCCAATGAAGACATATGGACTACAGTTAGTAATTTTAGTGGTGAAACGGCACCAGAATGTTACTGGCAATTGGACCTTGGTACTTGAGTTCTGGCTAAGAAAAAAATTCAGAGCCAAGACTCAAATACGAGCAAAACTTTATTTAGAAAGTCCAGAGGGCCCAGCCAGAGCAGCTCAGTTGGTTGAGCATCATCCCGTGCACTGGAAGTTTGCTGGTTCGATTCCCGGTCAGGGCCCATACCTGGGTTGCAGGTTTGATCCCCAGGTGGGGAGTGTACAGAAGGCAACTGATCAATATTTCTCTCTCCCTGCTCCTCTCTCTCCCCTTCTCTCCCCCTCTTCCTCCCTTTCTCTAAGCATGTCCTTGGGTGAAGATTTAAATGAATGAATGAATGAATGAACGAACAAACAAACAAACAAATAAATAAATAAATAAATAAAATAGAAAGTCACAGAGGTAGAAGAAGTGAGCTGTGGAAGAGGTGAGCCAACTGGGCTGTGTGGGCTCAGGAAATAAGCTACAGAGACAAAAGAAGGGCCCTTGGAACTTAGGAGAAAGCAAGCAAGGGTATACATGCCTGGGGAAGGCCAGGGCAAAAGGAGCTGGGCGCGCTCGGGATTGGTGCTGCAGAGAGAGAAAGAGCATGGCTGAGCCGCCATCCTGAGGTTCATCTACCCTTTAAAGGTAGGAATGAGGATCCAATGGTATATTCATCAGCTTTCCAGGTGTGTCCTTTCCGGGTCATGGTCTTTACTGATTGGTTGGCCCCGGTGTAGGGGGTCATTAGTCATCGTAGCTGGTCCTGAGGTCAGCCACGGTGTTGCCCCTCCAGCCTTGCTGCTTTTCTGGACCTGAAGCTGTAACACGGCTGAAGCCTCCATGTTGTCTCTCGTGTGATCAAAACTCTGTCTCTGTAGTCATCAGGCCTGAGGCTTTGTTCCTAAGGTTATCTGATGTGGTCAGAGCCTCAGTGTCCTGAGGGCTTAATGCTTAAGGGAGTGGTTGTGCAAGGGCTTGTGTGGGAGTCTTATGAGTCCATTCTCGAACCCCCTTGTTCCTCCTCCAAGGGGGTCTGCCATATGACTAGCGACATGCCAGGGGAGGAGAGGTCAGGGGAGGGTCCGAACAGCGTGACCAGCAATGTGAAGGGGCAGGGGTCTGAACCTCCAGACCCACAATGTTGGAGCGGAGGAAAGGTCACTGGGGCACGAGGTCCTTGTTTTCCCAGCTTTGCCCTTGCTAGGCACCCTGGGCTTTCTGCCCTGGTGACATTCGATACACGGCCTATTGTTCTTACTCTGCTCACATCTATGTAACTGCCTATGACAGTACCAATTTACTATAATTATTTCCTCAGGTACCTCACTTGTTATATATTCTAATAATCTTCAAGATTTTCTTCCAGATAAAAGTTATTTTTTCATAAAATATTTTAAAATCAAAGGTATTATTTCAGTTGTTTTGAAATGTTGATTTGAGCAGTGTAAGTTGCCAAATATTTTTGCAACCGCTAACATCCATTATTTAGACATCATGCAAAGGCATTGTTATACTTTCATTTAAATTTGAATAGCTTAAATATATTTGTCTGGCAACAATAAAACTTTCTAAAGCTTTTATTAGGCTGTGAACATGAAAATGTTAATAGGTTAATATATCTTTCTGACATGTTACTTACCATGGTATTTTAGCCAAATATGATGAAACCAAGTCTTATATTTTGGCAAGAATATACACAGTCAATCTGATTTTTTAATTTTTATGATGAAAAGCCTGGTTAAATAAAAGAAGTCAGGAATACTTTAAAAAAATCCCCAGTTAGAAAAGGGCAAGAAGGGGAAAGTGATGTTTTAGTTTGGCTTTGGCTTGCTGGTTGGCTAACTACTTGGAACTTGGGATAATAGTGCTCAGGAGTATCAGAATTGTTAAACCCATTTATTGTTTGATATGCATGCACTTTAATTTTATAACTTACAATACATTTGAATTAGGATGAGGTGTATTTATTTACCATTTTTAAGTGCAGTTCAGTGACATTAAGTACATTCACATTGTTGTGCAAACATGACCACCATCCATTTCCAGAACTTTTTCATCATCCCAAACAGAAACTTTGTACCCATTAGACAGTAACTCCCCGTCCCTCTCCTGGCAACTGCCATTCTACTTTTTGTCTCTATGAGTTTGACTATTCTAGGTACCTTTTGTGAATGGATTTATGCAGTATTTATCCTTCTGTGTCTGGCTTATTTCACTTAATGTTTTCAAAGTTCATTCATTTTGTAGCATGTGACAGAATTTAATTCTTTTTAAGGCTGAGCAATATTCCATGGTATGTATAAACCATATTTTGTTTATCCATTCATCCATCAGTGGACATTTGGGTTGTTTCCCTTTTGGTTATTGTGAATAATGCTCTTGTGAGCATTGGTACACAAATATCTGCTCAAGTTCCTGCTTCCAATTCTTTTGGGTGTTTATCCAGAAGTGGAATTTCTGGGTCATATGGTAATTTGATGTTTAACTCTTTGAGGAACTGCTGTACTGTTTTCCAAGGATGATACTATTATTATCAGCATTGAAGATGAGGAAACTTCCCTCTCCCTTCTTCCCTCTCTCTCTCTCTCTCTCTCTGTCTCTCTCTCATAAATGGAAGTTATAATGTTTTCTTCCCACAACCCACTGAATTGTCCTGCGTGGATACACACTGGGGGCACATATATTCTGTATTTAGACCAAGATTAAACATTAGAATAATTCCCCTCTAAAGAATTTTTGTGTAATATGAACATCATTTATACTTGGCTTAGGAATGTGACACTAGCACAATACAAGAACAAATTTTACAATACGACTGTCCAGCTTTGTGGTAGGCTGCCTTGGGTGGTTTTCTATCTGCAGAGGTGGAAATACTCAAGACTCCAATTGAGAGTTGGACTGAACAACCTCTGCTATTCCTCCTAAGATTCGAACTCAGCAACAGCCCAGTGGAAGAGATGCACAGGGCAAGGTATGAGGGGAGGGGTGTGGAGTTCCATGTGCTCTCTGGGTGCGACGCGCCCCCAGGACCTCCACTTGTTCACCAGCCCAGAAGCTCCTCAAAGGATACGTTTCTAAACTTTAAAGGGTGATAAGAAATCTTAACAGATGTGGCTGTCTAAAAATAAAAGAGAACATACTTTAAAGATGTTTTTCAGTTTAAAAAGCAGATATCAACTTTGTGCAGTGGCAGTGTTCTAACCAGTGAGATCTTCCCAAGGTGCTGTCACAAGTAATAAGAACCTTTCCAACACCCCACACAAATCCGACTGCCTTCCACTCACTGTATTTCAGTGAGCTAAGAAGACAAACGCACAGGATGAACTGGGCAAGACTGATCACTAAAGAATAATTATAATGGTGAAAAATCCGAAACAACCTAAATGTCTGCAATTTGGTGTTTGGTTAAATAAATAATGATAAATCTCTATAATAGAATACCAGTCACTAAAAATGATAATGTAATATTTTTTTGAGAGTGAAAGATGCTCACAGTTTATTGTTAAAAAATAAGGTTGCGAAGAGACAACAATAAGAGTAGCTAACTCTGTGTGGGAGGGTAGAAGTGATTTTTACTAACCTAAACTCTTTCTCCCATATCCTGTTTTTTTCTCCAGTAATCATGTGTGCTTTGATGATCACAGAGGATATAGGACTGTTTTTATTGTAGAAAAACAAATGCACATAACTGCCCTGGAAAATTGTATGCAGTTATTGTGACATAAAGTTAAGTATTATTTAAAGAGCTCAAACAAATGATAAAAACTGGAAGATCCTATGGAGAACATGAACAGGTGATATATAACATAGAAAAGGGAGGCAATACACAAGCCTATGGATCATGATTCACACTCATTTGGAATCGAAGTGTAGATTTAAACAAGATGACATTTATTTTTACTTGTTAAATTAGCCATATAAAGAAAAATTAATATCAATAATTGTGGTATAGTCCTTTGGTTCTATTAAAAATGAAAGGTTATGGAGATTATGTTGCAACCTGGAAAAATATAACATTTGAGTGAAATAATTAGGAGTTTTAGTTTTTAAACTAGTTAGGTAGGATAGGGGCTGAGAGAGAGCAGGCAGGATCCCTTATGGTGAATTTCTAGTTTGTTGAAATTTTTGTGCTGAATTCAAAATTAAAGTAAAATAATTTTTATTCTCTTTGTCTTTTGCAGAGATAATAGTAGCAGAATTTCACAGGAAAATCAAAGAGGCTTTTGAAGTGTTTGACCATGAGGCAAATAACACAGTGGATGTGAGGTTTGGAAATATTTTCTTCGTTCTTATTCTAAATTACTGATATAACTCATAAAATAGCAGAGGGCTCTTTTCCCTTTTTCCATTTTCTGGATTTATCATGCTCTTTAAAGTATTTATTTTGCCATGCCCTGTTTACAAGGTCTTTTTCCTAACTATTGCTTCCGATCAATACTGTTTCCTATTCTTTCTAGTCTGGTGGAAAGGATATCTTTGCATTGCTTGCCCCAGCCTACTGACTGTCAATTCTGTGAGTCGGATAAACTCTACTGTAGCTTTCGTGCTACACACACAGTTGGCGTTCAGTAAATATTTGTTGAGTGAATGAATAGAATTTTCATTTTAAAATAAATAAAGCCACCAATGGAATATTATACAGAAAAACTAATAATGCTTAATCAATGATACACTTCCTGAGTAAAATAAACAAAACAAAAGAACATCAAATGATGAGAGAAAGACGTGAATACTGGTAGGTCTAGGATGGAGGACAGGAAACAAAGGACAGTGTGAGACCAGAATGAAGACAGGCGGGAGGTAGAGGAGACGTCCATGAGTGTGATAGGAGTTGTAGGGTCCACGCCCCCGTTCCTCTGTCTTCCCTTCCCCTTACCTCTGCTTTGCACACATTGAGAGATTGAATGGAAATGGTATCACAATAGATGGAGGGGAGGTCGGGGACCGTGACTGTCAGGCAGCCAGTGGGTTTCCATCACTGTGTAAAACATTATAAAGTGAGCCTGCTGCTTTCTACCTGGCTCCCAGGGGCAACCTGAGGCCTGGAATCAGACTTCCTGAGTTCCAGTCCTGGCTTTGTGACTCTGAGTCACTTATTTATTCCCTCTGGGCCTCAGTTTCCCCATTCGCCTCATAGGATTGGTGTGAGTAAGCAATTCTCAAAGCGTGGTTTCGAGACCCCTGTGTGTCCCAAGGACGCTTTCAGGAATCTATGAAGTCTAAACTATTTTCATAATAAGTCAAAGACAGCATTGGCTATTTCCATTCTCATTTTTTCCACAAGTGCATATTGGAGTTTTTAAAATGCTACATGATATGTGATATTGCAACAGATTGAATGCAGAACCAGAGAGGAGAATCCAGCCGTCTTCTGTTAAAGCAGACATGAGAGAGAGATTTGCAACCATGCAAAACAGTGTCATTCTTCTAATTCAAGTTGATTTTTGTTTTAATAGCTTATTTTCATGAATATTATGTTATTAATATAAACGTAGAATGGGTTTTTAAATCGTTATTTCTAAATGAAGTAATAAATATTTTTAAAATTTGAGGTTTAATTTCTAACATGGTACTTATAGATAAATAAACTCATATTAACAGACTCTTTGAGGATCTCAGTAATTTTTAAGAGTGAAAAGGATCTGAGACCCAGAAACTTGAGAACCACTGTTGTTAGTGGACATTTTTAAAGCTCTTAGAACATTATTAGCTTGTGACAAATTTGTTCGGGATTTAAAGTTTAGGACAATATTAGGTATTTAATTATTATTTAATTTATTCCACTTTATATTCTTGTAAATAATTTAGACTTATTTTTTCTCTAATCTAGGTTAGCAATGTTATATTATACATAACAAAACTCTCATAAGACCTTTTTACTTATTTCTGTGTTCTGTTTTGATATTTTAAGTTCTGAAACAGTTCATTTTCCTTGTTAAATCATTTTTGAAAGTTGAGGCATATTTTCTAAATCATTATTTAGTGGCAATTTTATTTTGCCTCATACAAAACATAGGACATAGTATATTTTGACTTACATTTTCCTGTTCTATGTTCAGATTTCAGTCAATAAGATTGATTGAAAATTAAGGTATTGAATAGATAATATATTCACGTGGGATAAAATTTAAAAGGTACAAAAAATATATAGTGACAGGTAAGTCTCTTCACCTCTAATCCTGGCTATCCAGTTCCCCTTTCTAAAGGCAAGATTTGCTATAAGTTTCTCTAACTCTTCCAAAGAATGTCCATGGAAATACAAGTGTTTGTGTTTGTGTGTATTTTTATTATAAATATATAACATAAAATTTAACATTTAAAAAACTATTCAAAAGTTTAATGTCTGATTCAGTTTGGAAAATTACTTTTTACACACAGTTTATTTTTTAAAAAATTAAAAAAAAATTCAATTACAGTTGACATACAGCATTATATTAGTTTGAGGTGTACAACATAGTGATTAGACATTTATATAACTTATGAAGTGATCACCCCAATAAGTCTAGCACCTTACCTGACACCATACATAGTTATTACAATATTANTTCAATTACAGTTGACATACAGCATTATATTAGTTTGAGGTATACAACATAGTGATTAGACATTTATATAACTTATGAAGTGATCACCCCAATAAGTCTAGCACCTTACCTGACACCATACATAGTTATTACAATATTAATTGACTATATTCTTTATGCTGTACTTTACATCCCTGTGACTATTTGTATAACTGGCAATTTTTACTTCTTAATCCTTTCCCCTCTCTCTGTCTCTCCCTCTCCCTTTCTTTTTTTAAAAAAATATATATTTTAATATATCGTTATTGATTTTAGAGGAAGGGAGAGAGAGAGAGGTAGAAACATCAGTGATGGGAGAGTCATTGATCGGCTGCCTCCTGCATGCCCCCTACTGGGGATCGAGCCCGCAACCCGGGCATGTGGCTTGACTGGGAACTGAACCTCGATCTCCTGGATCCTACGCTGATGCTCAACCACTGAGCCACACCCGGCCAGGCTCTCTCTCCTTTTCTCTCTCTCTCAAAATCAATTTTAAAAAACTATTTTTGAATAGATAGTATATTCTGTTCACATCGTTAAAATGAAAAGATAAAGTATAGAGAAAAGTTGCTGTAACACCCTTTGTTTACCAGTCATCCAGAGCCCCTCCAAAATATTAGCAACTAAAGTACAAATTTTTAGGGATCACTCCAGAAATATTCTATGCATATCAAGGAAATGCATATATACCATTTTCCTACCCCCCCTTTTTTTTACCTGAATGATTGCATATTTCCTTAGCATGGTACCATCCCCATGGAATGGAATCGAACCTGTGATGAAGTTCATTTTTGTGGCTTCTCATTAGCATTCAGGAATCTGGAATGGATGGAGCTCTCTAGTTCAATCTTAGTGTAAGTGCAAAGTGTCCCAAGTTTTAGTGCATTGGAGGGCATCACGAAGGGTGTGGGGCCCTGGGAACCCCAGTGAACTATGTCCCAGGGCTGATAGATGAGTGTTGATTAATAGAATGGTGTTGTGATAGAATAATACTTGGGTTCAGGCTGCCCTGTTGAGGACTCTTAATTGACTGTTGTGACAAAGAAGATCCTTTCTGTATTCTTTATCTTTGGAGGCCAACTTTGGTTGACTCTGAATTATAGGTATCTGTCTATTGTACTTTTTGTATTGTCTCTATCAGGTACAGATTTTGCTGAATGGCTACAAAAATTCGGAGCCAGAGGCTGAGATTGGTGGTCTCAGGGAGTGTACTTCCTGGGGCCTCTGGGCATATAATTCCTGTGGCCTCTGGCTGTGTACCCTCTGTGGCTTCCAGGTTCATACTCCTGCAACTTCAACCTGTTCTCCTTGACATAGGAAATAAAATATTGGATCCACTTGAAAAGTGTCAGCCCTATTAAGTGTGGAAGACTTAATGCAAATAAATAATAGAGACCAGTTCATGGCAGTGTCTTCATTAGCTTTTGAAAGGTAGAGGGGATAAAAACCAAAACAACATTGCCATGTGCTCAGATGGCCACCGGCATATTTGGAAATCTGGGTCCCTCTCATATTTCTGTCGTGCCTCTTGAGGCAGCATGGGACCAAATAGTCCCTTAAGTTTTCTCAGTAAATGCAAGTGTATTATAAGGATACATTTGGAAATATGATGGAAGGAGTAATTATTCCGTATATGCCACCTCCATGACTAGTGTGGGCGAAAAAGGGGCCACACACTAACCCTGACAAGCTCAGGGGAAGCCCAAAAGTAACCACATAGGATGAAATGAAGTTAAAACTTATTAACTGAAAGTGAGTCATGGCAGGTTGTCCTGTCCTAGGCCAGTGTCCTGCCTAACAAAGGTCAATCTTTACCTTAACTGAGCCTGTCTATTGTTTGTTTGCATCTAAGATAACGTACCTAATGTCAGGGTAATTTTCTTTTTCCAGACCCCTCAGGACCCAGGTCCCCTTATTGCTGTTATGTTAATTGTTGTTAACTCTCCTATACCCACCTATGTAAAAGAAACTCATGTTTGTTTCATTTACTTTTTATCCAATCCCAGAGGCTTCCCTGCTTTGCTTTCTCCCACCTTCCTAATCTGTCACCAGTGGATTTCATGTAACCCCCTTAGGTGTTCCCCTTTTGGTTCTGGTGTATAAAGTAAGTGGTAAAACTGCCATTTTCTGGAGCATTTGCTCAATCCATTGAGGTTTTGCTTCCCAGCAATTGTTATCAGTTTGGCTCAAATGAATTTTCTCCTAGGTTTGGACATTTCTTACGTCGACAGTCGTGTTAAACCACTGGATACTGGAGTTTGTTACAGCATCGACCATTATCCTCACTCGGGGCCATAACTTAATTTTCTGCACAGCAACCTCGGGAAGGTTTGCGGCCCCTAGACATTTTGGCGAGCTAAGTCCTAGGCTGAAGTTGGCTGATAGGGTGGCTATTCAGAGCGGGCTGAGGGGTATAGAAGAGCCGTCATTGCCTTGCTGCTGTCAAGCATGCCATGAAGAATATCTCCCTTATAAAGCTTCCACCGCAAACCAGGAGCTGTGGGGAGCAGATACATTTGTCGTCACATAACAAAGTCCAGGAGCTGTTTGAAACGGCTCCACATTTACTTGGTGGTGGAGTGAGAAAGGGCAGTAGGGGGTAGCAGCTAGTGGTTCCGCCTTGTCCACAGAGCAAGTAAGGCCATCTTCACGCAGCCAGCAGGAAGCCAGTGTTCTGCGCATTCCAGATGGAAGGAGTGACCG